CATGTAATCACAAAATACAGAATTCCTTCTTTTAGGGTTACAGAGTAGTCTGGGGTGCTTGCATGTATGTATGTATGTATGTATGTATGTATGTATGTATGTTATGCATACATCTATCATTGAAGGCAGATTGTTCACATACAATGTTTACAGATAATGGTATAATAAAAATGAAAAAAGATAATTTTGACTTGATAGTGTCATTTCTTTAGGATATATATACCCTGAAGGAGAGAATTTTTCTATCACATGATAGTTATTCTTTAGTCTTTCCTATCTTTTCTCTTTTCTTGTTTTTCAACTTATACTCTGTGCCCTTCTCTTTTTGTTTTGTATTATTGAGGACTAACCTCAGGGTCTTATATATGTTACGTAAGTATAAATTTATTGTGCTACAAATCAAGTATGTTTTAAAAATTTTGATGACATTACATCATTTTTTTAGTGGATGTATTAATTTATATTCTCATTAACAATTTATAATGATGCCCCCTTTAAAAGAATTATTTCTAAAAAATTTATGTGTATTTACATCTATGTATATGTCATGTGTGGACAGGTGCCTGTGGAGGACAGACAGAGGCATTGGATCCTCTGGACCTGGAGTTACAGGTGGCTGTAAGCTGCTTGATGAGAATGCTGGTAACCAAACTTGGGTTCTATGAAGGGCAGAAAGTGCACATAACTCCTGAGGCATATCTCCAGCCCCTTTAAATGCTCCCAACCTTGTTGTCTTTTGATTTCTTTTTACAAAATATTTTTCCACATGTGTCAAGTCATAGTTCATAATAGTTTTAATTTATAATACTCTTATGATTGCTCATGTTCAGCACTTATTTATATCTGTTTGTTCGACTTTAGGCTAGTTGTAATGCTGAAGTAAAAATAGGCTTCTATAACTTGGGGGTTCTCCTATTCTGTTAATACAGTTATAATTTACAATTTCTCCCATTTTCTCCTTCAGGTAGCATTGCCAACCAAGCCAATGGAAGGTGTAAATCAGTCTGTGGTGTCAGAGTTTGTGTTCCTGGGACTCACCAACTCTTGGAATATCCAACTATTCCTTTTTGTGTTCTCCACCACATTTTATGTAGCAAGCATGATGGGAAACTCCCTCATCGTGTTCACTGTGGCTTCTGACCCTCACTTACACTCTCCCATGTACTTTCTGTTGGCTAACCTCTCCTTCATTGATTTGGGTATTTCTTCTGTCACTTCCCCCAAGATGATTTGTGACCTGTTCAGAAAGCATAAAGTCATTTCCTTTAGAGGTTGTGTCACTCAGATCTTCTTCATCCATGTCATTGGTGGTGTGGAGATGGTGTTGCTCATAGCCATGGCCTTTGACAGATATGTAGCCATATGTAAACCTCTCCATTACTTGACCATTATGAGCCCAAAGATGTGCATCTTGTTTTCAGTGGCCTCCTGGGTGGTTGGTCTTATGCACTCTCTGGTTCAACTGGCTTTTGTAGTAAACTTACCATTCTGTGGACCAAATATATTGGACAGCTTCTACTGTGACTTTCCTCGGTTCATCAAACTTGCTTGCACAGACACATACAGACT